TGTCAGATCAAAAATTATTTTAGTTAATTTCTGGTCAATATAAAAAAAAAAGAAACTTTCAGGCGTATAGTTCTCTCACCACAATTTCTGCTCTATTCTCTGTTTTGCAATTTTTTTTTTATCAGTAATTATTAGAAGAAATGAAAATATAAATACTGACAAATGAATACATATCAGTTTTATTTAGTTTAATGATAATCAGAGGAAAATAATGGAACATTATAAAAATAAAATTGAAAAAGAATTCTTTTCTTTTTTTTTTTCTTCTCTCTCTCTCTCTTTAATCGATCAGATGATATGATACAACTTATCAGTCAGTCAATTTCAATTAGTGCTAACGTATATCAGTCAGTCAATATTCATGTTGAAAGGATTAACATTGAAAAGTGTAATACTATAAAACCATTGACCACAAAAAAGAAAAAAAAATTGTTACCCCAAAAAAGTCGGTTAAACAGACTAAACCAAGGAAACACGGCGGTTCTGGGAATCTTAAATTTGGATTAAAGTTGAGTTTTTTGACCAGTTCATCAACTGTATGTGTTCCGGCTTTCTCCAATATATTACACATATCGTATCCAATATAGGAGCAGAGATTAAGTCGACTGAAAATAAACTACTTTTTTCTTTTCTTTTGGTTACAAAAGAAGGAGAATGAGTTTTTTTTCTTGTTGATTCCACAGGTTCTTTTTTCTTTTCTTTTTTGCACTTTTTTTTATCAATGATTGAATAAAAATTTGATCAGATAGACTTTGTACGGATATATGTATCCTGTCTTTCCACCCCATTCCACTTGCCCCCCCACAAACCCTCCACAAAAAAAAAAGAAAAAAAAGAAAGATGAAACAGTGTTACCAATAATAATCTGGCAAAAACCATCGAACACTTTTGCCGTTCACACAGAACTGTGCACCGGTTTCACTTGACACCGATATCTTGACAAGAGCGTAGTCTGTCAAGTTATATGTATACGGTACAATAGCTCGTCCTATAATACACTTTAAACAAACCAAAGATTT